TTGTATGAGTCCAAGAATTTATCCATTTCTTCTAGGTTATCCAATTTATTGGCATATGGCTTTTCATAGTATTCTCTTATAATCCTTTGTATTTCTCTGGTGTCCATTGTAATTTCTCCTCTTTCATTTCTGATTTTATTTATTTGAGTCTTCTCTTTTTTCTTAGTGATTCTGGCTAAGGACTTATCAATTTTGTTTATCTTCTCAAAGAATTAGCTTTTAGTTTCCTTGATCCTTTCTATTGTTCTTTTAGTCTCTATTTTGTTTATTTCTGCTCTGATTTTTATCATTTCCTTCCTTCTACTGATTTCAGGCTTTGTTTGTTTTTCTTTTTCTAATTCTTTTAGGTATAGTGTAAGATTGTTTGAGATTTTTCTTGTTTTTTGAGGTAGGCCTCTATTGCTATATACTTCCCTCTTAGTACCACTTTTGCTGCATCCCACAAGTTTTGGTGTGTTGTGTTTTCATTTTCATTTGTCTCCAGGTATTTTTTGATTTCTCCTTTGATTTCTTCATTGATCCAATAGTTGTTCAGTAGCACGTTGTTTAGTCTCCACATATTTGTGACTTTTCTAGCTTTTTTCTTGTAGTTGATTTCTAGTTTCATACCACTGTGGTTGCATAAGATGCTTGATATGATTTCAGTCTTAAATTTATGGAGGCTTGCTTTGTTTCCCAACATATGGTCTACCTTTGAGAATGTTCCATGTGTACTTGAGGAGAATATGTATTCTGTTTTTGTATGGAATGTTCTATATATATCTATTAAGTCCATCTGGTCTAGTGTTTCATTTAGGGCCACTGTTTCCTTGTTGAATGGAATGGTCTTGTCTGGATGGTCTATCCATTGATGTAAGTGGGGTGTTAAAAGTTCCCTACTGTTATTGCATTGCTGTCAATTTCTCCTTTAGATGTGTTAATAGTTGCTTTATATACTTTGGTACACCTGTGTTAGATGCATATATATTAATAAGTATTATGTCTTCTTGGTAGAATGTCCCTTTTATCATTATATAATGTCCATCTTTGTCTCTTATCTTTCTTGTCTTGAAGCCTGTCTTGTCTAATATAAGTATGGCTACGCCTGCTTTCTTTTGATTGCCATTTGCTTAGAGTATCAACTTCCATCCCTTCACTCTAAGCCCGTTTGTCTTTAGAGCTGAGATGTATTTACTGGAGGCAGCGTATTGTTGGGTCTTGTTTTTTAATCTATCCAGACACTCTGTGTCTTTTGATTGAAGAATTCAATCCACTTACATTAAGAGTGATTATTGATATATGAGGGCTTAATACTGCCATTTTATCTTTTGTTTTCTGGTTGTTCTATATTTCCTTTGTTTCTTTTTCCTTGTATTTCTGACTGCCATTTCAGTTTGGTGGTTTTCTGTGATGTTTTTCTCATATTTATCTTTATTTATGATTTGTGACTCTGCTCTGATTTTTTGTTTTGTGGTTACCATGAGGTTTGTATAAAAGGTCTCATAGCCAAGACAGTCTTTTTTCTGCTGATAGCATCTTATCTTCATTTGCCTATGCAGGTTCTGTCCTTTTCATCTTCCTCTTCTATGTTTTTGTTGTCATAAGTTATTCTTTTTTGTGTTGTGAGTTTGTGACCAAACTGAAGTGGTTATAGGTATATTTGATGCCTTCTTTCTCTTTATCTTTTATGTTATAATTGTTTACTAACCTATTCTGATATAGAGCTGCAATTTTCTGATTCTGTCTGTATATTTATCTCCTTGCTCACAGGCTTGTAAACCTTTGCCTTTTTGTTTCAGGTAGAAGGGCTCCTTTCAACATTTCTTATAAGGCAGGTCTAGTGGTGATGAACTCTCTCAGCTTTTGTCTGTCTGGGAAAGCCTTTATTTCTCCATCATGTCTGAAGGATAATTTCACTGGATAGAGTATTCTTTACTGACAGTTTTTGTTTTTCAGTATTTTGAATATATCATTCTACTCTCTTTAGCCTGTAGGGTTTCTGCTGAGAAATCCTCTGAAAGCCTGATGGGTGTTCTTTTGTAGGTTATTTTACTCTCTCTGGCTGCCCTTAATATTCTTTCTTTGTCATTGACTTTTGATAGTTTTAATATTATAAGTCTTGAAGAAGGTTTTTTTGCATTGAAGTAATTAGGAGTTCTATTAGCTTCATGTTCGTGTATGTCCAGTTCCTTCCCCAGATTTGGGAAGTTCTCAGCTATTATTTCTTTGAATAAGACCTATGCTCCTTTTTCCCTCTCTTCTCCTTCTGAGATACCTATTACCCTTATGTTAGTTTTCCTAATTGAGTCGGATAGTTCTCGTAAAATTTATTCATTTTTTTGAAATCTTAGTTCTCTCTCCTTCTCCACCTGAATTATTTCTAGATTTCTATCTTTGAGTTCACTAATGCCCTCTTCTATATGATCTGCTCTATTTTTAATGCTTTCTATTTTATTTTTCATCTCATTAATTATTTTCTTCATCTCCAGTGTTTCTATTTGGGGTTTTTTTTTAGAGTTTCAATCTCTTTGGTAATATACTCCTTCTGTTCATTAATTTTATTCCTGAGCTCATTGAACTGTCTTTCTGAGTTTTCTTGTAACTTGTTGAGTTTCTTCATGACAGCTATTTTGAATTCTCTGTCAGGTAGATTGTAATGTTCTGTGACTTCAAGTTTGGTTTCTGGAGAGTTGTCATTCTCTTTGTGTTCTGCAGTGTTACTGTAGTTCTTCAGGGCACTTGATGAATTGATCCTCTGCCAGCACATTTGTGGTAGTAACCACCTTTCTTATTTGAGTATGGCTTTGGTTACTTTGGTTCTGAGCTGCTTCTGGTTGTATTTGACAGCCTGCAATATCCACCATCTACAGCCTCTGCTAAAGGCATCATCAGTGCCCTCCTTGTGCTGCTTTTGCCTCTGAGGTTGCTGGTGCCTTGCTGCTTAGGATGTCACTGCAATCGCAGGTGTTGCCACTGGGTCACCAGACTATGAGCACTTCTGCTGCTTCCGGGGTTGCCTGGGTCTTGTGTTCTCCCACGGGCTTTCCATGGGCTCGAGTGCTGGTGACCAATGAACCACCTGCATTGCCACCTCTGAGTTATCTGGGGCTGCTGCTGCCAGGGGTGCTGGGTTCACAAGTGTCACTGTGGCTGCCAGGGGCCTGGGTTCTTGTATGCAGCCTCCACTGCTGGTAGAGCTGGTGTTGGGGGTGCCACCACTGAGGGCCGGGTCATGGGTTCTGCTGTGGTTCCCGAAGCCTTAGGTCACAGTTGCCACCTGCCACTGCTGGAGAAGGGGCGGGGGCTAAGCTGTAAGAGTTGTTGCTGGTCCTGCAGCCTCTGGTCACTGGTGCATGCCAGTTTGCTTTTTGAGAACTCAGGTCAGTGCACCCTGCTCCTGCAGAGTAAATCTGCATTTGAGATGCTGTCCCCAGTGCTGGCAAGAACAGTGCCACTACCAGTGGAGAAGGAGGAGGCTGATTTACCAGCACCACTCTGTGTCTTGAATCCTCAGGATGTGTGCACCACCTGCCACCACTGTGGGAGGGCCAGGGGCTAAGCTGAGAGTGAATGTCATTGCTGCTCATGCAGCCTCTGGCCACTGGTGCTGGCATGTGCCAGTGTACTTTGAAACCTCAGGTCAGGGCACCCCGCCCCTGTCAGGGAAATTCAGGTTTTGGATGCTGTCCCCACTGCTGGAAAGACCAGCGCTGCTACTGGGGGAGGGGGAGATGGCTGGGTCACCAGCTCCACTCTGTGTCCTGAATCCTCAGGACATGTGCCCCACTCACCACTGCTGGGAAGGACAGGGGCTAAGCCGAGAGAGCCATGTTTGCCCCTACAGACTGTGGTCACCAGCGTGCGCACTGTGTGAGGATTCACATTTTGGATCACCACCACTGGGGGAGTGGGAGGGGGCTGCTCCTAGGGTTCCACCGCCTCCAAGAGCTGCAGTCCACCCACTCTCAGGTGTACAGATGCATGGATCGCTCAGGCCTTCTGGTGTGCTGTGCAGGAAGTCCTTTGTTGGTCAATGGATGTCTGACTGGTTGTAACTTAGAGGGGAGGAACAAAGGGAACAACTCACTCTGTCATGATGCTGACATCACTCTATGCCTCCCCACTTTGGTTTTAAGCTCCATAGAGACCATGCTCATTTTTGTTGACCATTGCACCCCCATGCCTGGCATGTAGTAGTCATTCAGTAAGTATTCACCGAGTGAACAAATAAATTTGAAGACCCTCAAGGTCCCTGACTGCATGTCAGTGCGAAGAGACCAGCATTTGTCTCCCAGGGCTGCTCAATCACTTCTCAGTGCTCCAGCTTCCAGAGCTGCTCTGGAGTCATCTGAGGCAAGTAGCCTCTTTAGGAAGTTCAAATCCTTCCTAAACTGCTGAAGGCAGATCCACTGGCTCATCAATTGTGCCCAGTCTTAGTGACCCCTTGAAACTCCAACATGACCTCTTCCATAAAGCCAACCCCCTACTAGAAAGAGCTGTGTCTAAGATTTGTTAGCACATTGCATTTCCATTTTAAATGTGCCTCATGGACACCAGTGATTACTACTGCAGAGGCTGAGGGAGCTTCTCTGGAGATCTTACAAATAGATCACTTCCCTAAGGATCGGAAGAGTTCATCTGGGTGGTTAAGGGATGAATAAAATAAAGTAACTTCCTGGTGCCTCTTTCATGTCTAATATTCTACGACCCCTGTTGTTTGATAACTTTAGACATGGTCCCTCAGTGCAGACAGAAAAGTATTCTTAGTCTTCTAACTCTCTGACCAATATTTAGATCAATAAGTCACTGGCAACAGTACAATAGAACAATCAAGAACCCAGATAGGTTGAAAAGCCTTTTGCACAGACATGACTGTAATCCTGTTCAAATCACCTTCCCTGTGTGCTCTCAGGAGTAAGTGCTGCTTTTTCAAAGTGTTAAGATAGTTTAATGTCTGGCTTTTATGTTTCATCATCTCATGGCATGAGGAATGCTGAATGCTCTAAATGTTGGACTTCTAGAAGCTTGAACCTGTTGACCTGCCACAAGTAATTGCTTCTGAGAGGTTCCTGAGCCAGAAAGAAGCCTGGACAACTCGCAAAGCAAAGGTGAACTATGGCAATAACAGGAGGGGGTGGGCAACGGGGTGGGCTATCCTTTTGCTGTGCTCCCTGCACAGAGGACTTCAAAGACAAAGCAAACTATTAAGTCATTCAGAGTTAGAACTTTCCAAAGCTATCCATTCTCTCCTGGGCCTGCCTCCAACTAGCAATTACTCTTGCCTCTCAGATGAATTCTGGGCCCTTCTCTGTTTCCTGTGAAAACTGGGAGATGTAAATGAGAGAGAAAATTTTTATTTGGAAATTGGTGATTCTAAAAGTGTTCAAATTTGTGAAAAATCCAGCATAACTCTCCCCTTTCACTCTTCCCCTCAGTTTAAAACTTCCTCTCATTCTCAGTTTCCAGTGGAAATCATATCTACGAGTTGTTCCTGACTTATTTACCACAACCTCACCAAAAAGCAATCCTGGAAAGGGTCTTCTGTAGAGTGTTTTCCTTTTATAAACTTGTCACACTCTGCTAAGAAAACTCCCTTCACGTAGACATGAAAACTGTGAGCTGGTAGACTGTCAGCACTTCCCACTCCTGATTCATTTTGGAGCCAGCTAGATGCTGCTGTGTGGCTGGCTGATTCGGTAACAGATGTCCGGGTACTTTTAAATCCTCAAGGCTGTGATTTTGACACTGACCACACCTGTGGAGATGCCCATCCCCCCCACCCCCAGAGGTTCACATCAGCCAGCACAGTCACTGTCCACAGGAAACATAAAAGATGTCACTGAACACATTTAGCTGCCACATCCCTTCCTTTCCCTGGCCACAGCAAGTTACGAATGAGGATGAATCCACCCCTGATCGCCATCAATAACCGTCCGTACTGCCCCACTGCAGTTTACGAGGCAGCAGGGGGAGATCAGCAAAGTTACAGATAATTGACTTCAAATCCCTCCTCAGCTGCAGCATCCCAGGGCTTATATTGGTATATGGGGGTACATCCTATCGAAATAGTTTCCATTTAACCATTCGGTGGCTCCCCTCTAATTTCACAGGCAAACAATTAGTCTATGGCAGAAAGAGGCAGGAGAGAGAGGCAGGTCTCATCAACCAGAACACATTTCCGGGGAGATAGTAATAAGTACCTGTTGACAGGGGAAGTGATATCTTGTCAAATTGAGTGGTGGAGAGGTATTTCCATTCGAGGTTTGCAAAACTCTACAGGAACCTTAAAAACTCCATGATATACACAGCAACGCGCCACTTCCTTCCCTGATAGCCACACAAAGGACTCGTTAGGGAGCTGCATCTTTGACCTCACAATCCATGAGATCTCTATGGATTATGATTGATGATTGATCAAGATCTCACTCTCTTCCAAAAAGGATTTCAAGTTGTGGATTACAGAGTCAGTAACAAATTACCCCATACTAATAAGTGTGTCGTCTTTCAAAGCAGGAACTGGAAAAGAAGATGCAAACTCCAATGTACACTTCTGGGAAAAGACAATATTTACATAAGATGCAAATGCTGGAAATGAACCGTAGAAAACAAGAGGTAAATATGAGAAGAGAGAAGGAGAGTGTCATATTTACCAAATTTACCCCACATAATCACTGCCCTGGCACATGAATATAGTTAAGCATTCATCTCAAGTCTTTACTTAGCATTTTAAATTTAGTCATTGGAGCCAAAGCTTCAACTACTGGAGTTGGGAAGAATCAGCGAGATCCCTTCTGCTACCAACGCTGCTGAGTCTTTTCTGTTTTCAGTCCTCTCAAGGGTGTATCTGTGTCTCAACCGTCTCACTTACTTTTAAACAAATTGCTCCTCTGACATTCTGGCTCCAGCAGGAAAATGGGGTTAGGTAATTTTTCTTGGTTTAGTAAAAGGGAGGGGGGTGAGTTGGTCTTTATTTTGATACCTCGGCGTCTCTCCATAACTCATGCCATAGAATTATCTTACAAGAAAGATCTCTTGTAACAACCCCTTTACAGTAAGATCTCTTGTAACTATCATATTCCAAATTCCTCACTCCAGCAAATAAGCCTGAAGTCACTGTCTTCTGCAATTCCAAATAGATCAGCTGGCTTACAGGGAAATGTTTTTACAAAGGCCTTCATCTTAATCAAGCAATACCTTTTGGATACTGTGGGCATACCCTTTCTCCTAACAAGCCTGTGCATAAAGAAAGTTTCTATACCTTCTAATAGGAAAAACAAAACCATGTTCTGGTTAGGGGACCACTGATGTGTGCACATAAGCACACAAATTGCAAAGTGGCTCATCTGTAGACCTATTCTGGTGGAAGTAGCTCAGAGGGAGAACATTAACTGTTTATAGTTGATCATTTTCAGGCCCAAGTGGAGCTGAAGAAAAGTCTTCACAGGGAGGCAAGAATTAATAAACAAAAACTGAGGGACCATAAAGCTGAGAAACTCCTTCAAAGCATCCCAATAAATGATGACGGTGACCTGCTAACATTGTTGCCTGATGAAACCTTGAACAGAAGTCCACGTGAGTTATGTAATTTTTTTAGCAAAATAAAATATGTCAAATGTTTTTAAAACTTTATCAAATAACCTCTCCAGTGAAGAGGTGTAGGGGGTTGAAGGCACAGCAAATACGCTTGGGTTCCTGCTGATACTATACTTCCTGGAATGCAGTGATCATGTTGTCATGTAATTTTGGATGGCCAGGTGGAAAAGACAGAAACTTAAGCATTATAATAAGATGTCTCTTTTTAGAGGTGCACTGTGCTTTATAAGCATTAGTGCAATCCTTGCTGCATCCCTAGGAGGAGAAAAGGCAAACAGCTTTATCCCGTGGTTCAAGAGAATGAAGCACATGAGGAATTGGTATCAGCCAGTTTGGTGCCACATGCAGCCACTCTCCCCCACCCCACCCTTTCCCCTGCAGCCCTCTTTGGCTCCTTTGGAATGGCTAAAACTGAATCCAGCATCACTGCCCACCCCAAGCTTGCTCCTGCTGTATCCACTGTCTCAGTGAGTGAGGCCTCCATGCTCTGAGCCACTCAGGCCAGAGACCTGGGCCTTTCCAGCCCTCTGCTCCCTCTCCTTGCAGCAGGTCAGTCACAAAGTCCTGTTGATGTCACCCAGCATTGAAATGTCCCCTCTCTCTTCCATTCCCAATGCCACCCTTAGTCATTGTGTCACACCAGGGCTATTGCTGAAGCCTCCTGACTGCACTCCTCCCCTAGGTCTTATCCTCCACCTAGGTGGTTCTCAGTGTGGTCCCCAGACCACCAGCACCAGCATCACCTGGGAATAGTTGGGGCTCCAGCCAGAGTGACTGAATCAGAGACTGTAGGGGCGGGGCCCAGCTACCTGGGTTTAACATCCACCCCCCCCACCACCACCAGGTGATTCTGATGCCTCTAAAGTTTAAGAACCACTGCTCTACTTGGTAATCAAAGTATTGTCCAAAGACCAGCAGCATCTGCACTACCGGGGAGTTTATTAGAAATGCAGAATTTCAGGCCCTGCTCCAGACCTACTCAATCAGGATCTGCATTTTATCAAGATCCCAAGGTGATTCTCATGCACAATAAAGTTCTAGAAACACTGCACCAATAGCAGACTGATCTTATAAAAAGTAAATCTGACCATATCCCTCTCCTGCTAAAAAAAATCCTTCAGTGAGTCTCCATCAGCCTGAGGACAAAGTCTAAACTCCTTAACCTGGTGCTCCACGCCTTCAGGGTCTAGCCACTGCCTAGCTGCCTGGCTTCATCTCCTACCACTCTTGTGCTGAGCCCCCACACTCCAGCCGGGCCAGATTGCTCAGCGGCCTCAGATTGCTCTGTGATTTCCAACAGACATCCATGTTCATAACCTCTGTGCTATGCTGCCTCACCATTTAGTGTCCCATTGTTTTCCCCATCTGTATTTCCCCAGAGGAAACTCGCAGTTGCAAATGTACAATATTGTTGACACACCCAGACTGCTGTGCCGTGGGCCGAATCCCCACATCAGTAAGACTGACCACTGAGGGGTCCACGGAAACGCTGGCTGTGGCTCTGGAGGTCTTGAGCTTCTAAGATGCAAAATCGCCAGCTGAAAGAGACACTGCCCCTGCTCAGAGGAACAACATGCTTAATCAATAAATTAATTAAATAAGAAAAGGCTGAATAATTGAAAATCTGCTTGGGGCGTCTATTTAACCCATACTCCCAAGTCCCAGAATGAAATATGCTCTATAGTCACATAGATAAGCAACTTTCACAATTTAAAAAATGTTGGCGAAACAACCAAGAATGTGTGTCAGCTAAAGGTAGACACTTTGAGTCCTCGCTTGAAGGCAGGCCCAGAAAAACGAACACTGGTGAAGTCTTTGGAAGACAGCCCAGATCTGGGGGACTCAGGAGAGACTGTGGCACATGGAGAAGCTGCTTCATTTTGTTCCAGCTATAGCTTATCGAGTGCTCACTATAAGCCAGGCACTGTGGTCCACCCTAAGAGGCATTATCGCATGTAGTCCTCACGCAACCTGTAGGGTAGGAGTACTATCAGCCCCCATGTGACAGAGCCAGGATTCAAGGCCAGGTCTTGCTGACTCCAAAGTGTGCACTCCTTCTCAGGCCCTCGTACGGCCTCATCAGGACCAGGGACTCAGAGCTCTGTCAGGGACAACATTGGAAAAGTCTGCAAATGTAGAAGTCGTGACTTCTCATCCCTACCTTTCAAGGGAAGGCTGCCCTCCACAGAGCCTGCAGACTTCACCACTACACTAGGCACATGCTCAAGCAATGATTCCTTTCTGCTTATTCCCAGAGAGCATCTTCGATTTCTTCCTCTCTCTTCTAAAAGCAGTTCACCTTGCTTTCTCCTGAAAGTGGAGCGTGGCCAAGATCGTAGACTTACGTGGGCGTTCTGCCGGTCAGGTTCTGGTAATTAAGGTTCCTCTGTACCCATTTCCTCTTATTTAATGCTATATTTGCCCATTCTTGTTTCCTGTTTTGGAAGGTGGGACGAGAGTTTTTTATCTCTCTCTTGTGAGATAAAGTCGTCTTTGTTTTCTACTGCCTCTTTCAAATGAACTCACCCTCACTTTACATATAGTTTACATATATTTATATAATAAATTACATATAACATATAATGATACACAACTTACACAAAGTGAACACAACTCTTTTGGGTGTACAAGTCTGTGAATTTTATCATGTTTATGTGGCTCCTGCCCTTTCCAGAAGCCATGATATGAGTATAGTGGGTAGAAAAAGTGCTGGACTGGGAATCAAAGTTCTCATTTGAGCCCCAACAGTACATTTACTAAAGGTAAGCTCCATGGGAGCAGGGACCTCCGCTTGTTCCTAAAACAGTGCCTGGTTCATAGTAGTATCCCAATAAATATTAGCTGTGTATTTGTCTATATAGCTTTATTCTACAGAGAGAGAGATTATAGCTAAATTCCAGTTATTTAACCTCTGGGAACCTCAGTTTCCACATCTGTAAAATGGGAATAAAGCATTGTCTACTGTGTAGGATTTATGTAAAAATTATTCTAATATGTATAAAGGCACATATGAAAAGTGCCATCTAAGTGCATGAGAATATGGACAAAACTGAAGGAAGATGGAACTGGGATCCTAGCGTGAAAATAGCTATAGGCTTCAGGGGAAGAGTCACCCTAAATACATCATTTGAATGTCATCTTCACGATTCTGGTCTTATCTGGCCACCTGTACCATTATTTACTTAGTATTTTTCTTTAAGGTGTCTTGTTTTGTTTTGGTTTTAAAACTTAGCCTTATCTATGAAATAATCAGGAAATTATGAGTTTGATATAGTGGCAATACATTTTTCTAAAACACATGTTATAAAATACATGAACATCAAACATTTTTAGTGCTTTGCATGATCCTTGTACCACCTAAAATCACTCCCAGTTTCCCACTGGCCTCTGTTGCTTTTCCCTCTCCCCAAATTAATTTTGTAGTAGGGTACACTTTACTCTGCTCACCCAAAACCCATCTAGGTTTTTAAAGGTTGTGTTTTTATTTCTATTTTTTTCTTTAGTCTAGCAACCACAGAGAATCAAACAGATTTATAAAAATGTAACAAGTAACAAGACGGTCAGCTTAGTTCTCAAACGTTAATGCTTTATACACAAAACTTTGTATTCTTTATAAGTGAGTTAAGGATTTTCAAGGCTAAAACTGAACATGTGAATTTTGCCTCACACACTACCTTCAGACCTGAATTATCTTAACACCAAGAGTGTTGTGGGACTTAAGCTATTGTTAATATTACATTAGATCCCACCGTTAACAAACATTCTCTTCCTGTTTCAAAGTTCCTGCCTCTGGCCTGCAGGAAATTCCTGTTCCCAGTCTGAGAGATGCCTCTAGTAGTTCTAGGCTCATTTGTAGAGCAGAAATGATTGACACCCCCTGACCCCAGTGAATGAAGCCTTTCCCAGGTCCCAGTTACCAATACTTCCCACCTCCCTACATTCTCTGATGGCCCACTTGTTCATTCATTTATTCCTTTACTCATTCAACAGATACTGAGCTGGGTAGATGTGGTTTCTGGCCTTGGAGCTTTTGCAATAGTACAGACAATGAACAGGAATCCAATGAGAGTATAACTGAGAGACCTAATAACCTAAGGACTTGGAAGGTTTCATGAGGAAGGGATGTTTAAGCTGAGACATGAAGTCGCTGGACTAGGGGGGCAGGAGTGCATGTGAGTGTGAGGACCAGAGTGCTGGAATGTTCAAAACTGTGACTGACAATAGCATGTACAAAAGCCCTCGAGTGGGAAGGAGCCTGATGGATTCCAGACACTGGTGGAAAAGAGATTCAAATGGAGAGTGATAGGAGGTGGCTCTAGAGGCACAAGCAGGTCCCAGAGCACACGGGGTCTTGTAATCATGTCAAATACGGATTTTGAACTCTATCTCAAGATCAGCGGGAAGCCGTTGAAAGGGCAGAGGAGCAACACAATCAGGTTTATATGTTAAACATCACTCTGTCTACACTGTGGAGAATGGATGGGAGAGGAACGCAAGAGGATGTGGGGAGCCAGGTTACAAGGACATAGCGGTAGCGCAAGTGAGAGATGCATTTGGACCAGGAGAGTCGGGCCACAATGGGGATGTAGAGATGGGCCAGATACAAGATATTTAGGAGACAGAATCGGCAGAACTTGGTGATGGATTAGATGTGGGTTCATGGAGAGAGTGAGAAGGCCAGGACAATTCTTGGGTTGTTTTGAAGAACAAGGCAGATGACGGTGCCAAGGTAGGACCATTTGCTGGACTAGAGTAACTGGGAGAAGAGGCAGGTTTGCGAGAGAAAGAGAGGGTGAGTCTGACATATTGCCAGGAGACATCGAAGCGGAGGTGACCAGTTGTACAAAAAAGCATACTGTGGCTCAGGTGTGAGATTAGGGCTGCAGACATAAATCAACTATAGTTTTCTATCAGTGCTGTGTAAGTAGACCATGATAATAATTACAATAATATTCAAGGTAAAATAGGGCAGCCCCTCACTGAGGCAGAAAGGAAACTAATGAATCACAAGGCGTGAATCCTCACATTGAAATGCTTGATTTTCTTTGACAGCAGTAAGCAACTTCAGATAGCAAGTGCTTAAATAAAATCTGCCATAAGATTTGATAAACAATATCATTAAGATGACATCCAGAAAGTTATGACTGGTTCAGCCAGGCTGAGGGGAACTCTAGGCTGTGACTCAGGATGATTTCCCTAGCTCAGAAGCGGTTGTTAAGATTTTGTTTTCTTAAAAGCTGGCCTTCCTTGAATAAAGCCCCTGTTGGTCTGAAGTACGTTCTAAAAGGCAGTGGGGACTGCTTAAATTAAAAGCTAAAGTAAAGACAGACAGACACAAAATCCACACACAAAAAATTAAATCTCTTCTAAAAAAAATAGAAAGTAAAATAAAATGCCTGACACTTTGAGCTCCCTAGTTCTATAGGTCTGGGGTGTGGCCCAGGCATCTGTGTTTCTAAAAGGCTCTGTGGTGATTCTGACATGAAGTCAGAGCTGATGTGGAGGATAGAAAAAGTCTATACATCACGCACCAAGCACACAGTAGACGTTCAGTAAAGAGCACTAGGCAACATCGCCTGTGCAATATTCTTGCCAAAAATGTTTAATCTTAATTTTAGCACAAGGAAACTATCAGACAAGCCCAGATTTAGGGTCATTCTGCAGAACAGTTGACCTGAATTCTTTAAAATGTCAGTGTTAGGAAAAAAGAAGATAATGAAGGTGGAGGAGAAGGGGGAAGAGGAAGAGGAAAGGCGGGAGCAAAAGAGAGAGTGAGAGGGAGAGAGAAAGAAGGAAGAGGAGGAGGGAGGGTGGGGGGGAAGGGAGGAAGGAAGGGAAGGAGGAAAGGAGAAGAGAAGAAAGAAGAAAGGATAGGGGAGTGTTGAATTAAAGGAGACTAAGAGACGAGAAAATAAAATGCAGTGCATGAGCCTAGATTGGATCCTGGATCTAAAAAAAAAACACAAACAGGCAAACAAAAAGTAGCTATAAAGGGCATTATTGGGACAACCAAGGATGTTTGAATATGGACCATATGTTTGAAAATGGTACTGTATCAACATTAAATATCTTAAGTGCAATGTTCAAATTGCGGTTATAGAGGAAAATTGCCCTGTTCTTAGGAGATTCGTGGTGATGTATTTTGGGGGAAAGTGACTCTGTAACTAATTCTCAAACATTCAGCTGAAAAGTTATACACACACACACATGTATATACATATACATATAAAGCAATATTGTGACAAAACGTTGTTGATAAGTTGGGGTATACAGATGTGTATTGTACTATTCTTGTGACTTTCAGAAGATTTAAAATTTTTTTACATAACAATAAAAACATTTTTAATGCTTACAAAGTCACCAATTGGAATCCTTTATATATACATATATCTTTTTTTTCTTGAAAGAACACCAAGCAGATTATTCTGTGTTCATAAAAACCTATGCACGTAAACAAATACATCATTGTCAGGGAAAAAAATAAATTAAATGAACTTTTACTTTTTTGTAGGAAAATCACAGAATGCAGAAGTTTTGAAACATGAGGCAAGGAATGACTATTGTCCCCGGAAAATTGGCAAAATGGAAACATGGCTCCGTGAACAAGAGGTCCGGGGACAGCTTCCCTGGGACAGTTCCAGCTCTGACTCTGATGAGTTGGGGAAAATTGAGAAGAAACCACGAGCACTGGTGAGGACCAGGACAGAGAGAATCCCACCTTTTGATGAGTTTTTTGATCGAGAATAAGAATGCGAGTCACTAACCTAAATACTGAGTGCATGGGAAGCTTGCTTTCCTGTAAAAATTCTTCAAGTTAGTATACGAATTATTCTGAGGAAACCAATTCACTTTCTTTCCATTTGGAGTCTTACAATTAATGGGTGTGACATATATTGTTAATTACACTGCCTAACTAACTGCCTCAAAACTTAGGGGCTTAAATAATAGCCATTTATCCTCCCACTTTTCTGTGGGTTGCTGGATGGTTCTGCCACTGGTCTCTTTTGAAGTCTTTCACATAGTTGAAGTCAGATGGCAGCTAGGGCTCGAGTCATCTGCAGGCTCGACTAGGACACTGAGACAGCTGGACCTTGCCCCCTCTCTATATGGTCTCAGAGCCTCTTCACATGGTTTCCCCAAGTGGTCTCTCCAGCAGGGTGGGGAATTTTCTTTTATATCAGCCCAGGGCTCCCAAAAGCAAGAGGAGGACGCAGAAGCTGCCCGTCCCCTTAAATGCTAGTCACGGAACGGGTTCCTCATCACTCCCACCACATTCTATTGGTTAAAGCCAGTCATAGGCCAGATTACAGTCAATGAAAAAAAGCATGAATTCTGAAGTGTGGTCCTCTGGGGCCCATCTTTGAGACTCGCCATCACACCATATTTGTTAAAAGCCAACAAGATCTTATAAAACAAATAGATGAGACAGTAGATTTGATACAAATAAAAATGAGTTTTTAAAGAAAAGTCACAATAATGCTACATGCAAGACTACGCTCACGTAGGTCCCTTTCTTGTGAGTCCGCAGCTTATCATCTCATAGCAGAGAGGCCACAGGAAGGAGGCAGAACAGCATCAGCTGGAAGGCAGCTGTGGATTCAAGCTCGAAAGCAAACAAAGATCTCAGATTATGAGGTACATCTTAGAACTCTTTAAAACTAAAAGGAACTTTGGAAATTTTCAGTCCCAAAGTTACTCCACTTATAAAAATCAGACTTTTAGGCAATTTTAAGAGCTTCTTTTGTGTAAAATTAGGCTCTACTTTTGGCATAATCTAAAAATACTTTTAAGCCATCCAGAAGCTTCTAAGAATTTGGTGAAACTTTAAAACAAAGCCAAACGAAAACACCTTTGTAAACCTTCTACAGGAAACTTCCAAAAAGAAAAAAATAGAAGGAACCCCCACCCCATCCCTCCGAATGTGACATTCTGTGCACTCAGATCAGTCACTAAGAAGACAGAAAGACTGCTGTGTCAAGGAATAAACACTCATGTTTCTTCCAAGGACAGAAGGCAATTAAGTCACCCCTGGGTATTTCTACTCCCAGTTCTTTGTGCGAAATATTCTTACTTTTTCTGTGGTAGGTAAAAAGCATATTTCCTGCAAAGGAATACATAAATTGTTTGACCCGTCAACGTTTTTGAAAAAGTAAGATCCTTGAGAGGAGAAATGAGTCCAACCTACTCATAACGTCCTCACAAATTATGGTTTATCTGGAAGGCTTAAACCAAAGTGGACCATCAACTCCCAATGCTGAAGATAGCAGGGCCTAAGCCTGTCTTCATCAATCTGGTCTGTGACTTGAAATTGGACATCACCTCATTCTAGAAGTTCAGGGGACTGTGAGCTACATGAGGGCACAGACCATGTCTCCTCCCTGTGGTATCCCGCTTCCTGGCACTACGTCTGGCCCAGAGTTTACTAATAAATGTTTGCTGAATTCACTGATGTATGTGTTGAGTTAACTAGTCAATTAGAGGGCACTTTTTTCTCTCCAGCTATGCAGTTGCTCACTCTCATTTCTGTCATTTCCCAAGAGTCTTAATGTACAAGGTTGATTATAAAGTAAAGAAAGAGAATTGTTTTCAAAAGTTCTTGGAATTTATACATCTAAATGGATGGCATAAACTAGACATTGCCCTGGGATACACGAGCTAGACACATATGTATGCCAATGAGGATGCCATAGCACAAAATACTTTTTGAAACTCTATCAGTGTGTTAGCTGCAAAAGAAAATCTATCATAATGCCTTCTCTGTTTGAGTTTATTTGCCTGCTCCACATGGAACTCTCCCTCACTCAATTCTAAATTCAAGACTTTGAAATAATAATAATGGTGATAGCAATAACTGCTAATGTGCATAGACTGCTTATTGTGTATTAGGCACGCTTCGTATGCTTTACATCGTTAATCCTCACAACAACTTTGTGGGTCAGTATTAATACCACCCCATTTTATAGATGAGAAAAATGAGGCATGGAGCAGTTAAATAACTTGCCAGAGTTACTTAACTGCCCTTTGGAAGAGACGGCTGCTTACCAGAGGGGCACTTCCCTCCTCTCCCTAATTTTACCTGCAACTCACAAACCACGTTATCCGGCATTCCACATTTTTTTTCCTATTACATGGTGGGGTTTTTGTTGTTGTTCTTGTTTTGGGGGGTTTTTTTGGAGAGGAATAATGCTACACTGGAAAGGGTGAGAGCTTTATGGGATTATTTTTTAGCAAGGAAGAATTTCCTTGGAGCCTGATGGCTTAGCTGTGGGCACAGGGGAGATAAGAACACCTGAGAAATGGGTCAGGAGGGGAAGTTTCCAGGAATGGGGAGAGGGGTACGGAAAGGCAGATGAGAGAGGAGAGACAAACTCAACCGTCTTCACAATGTGGCCTGGGAGCAGGGTTGGTGAGCAGCCCCGGGACGCCCCACCCAGGATGGAATTCAGTTGCACCCTGCAGCAGGGGCCGGAGGGCAGTGGGTCTCAACGCTGGCCACAGGGTAGAATCACCCGGCGGACGATCAAAAACTAATAACCATTAGGACTTGGGGGGTCCACCTTTTGACGTACCTGGGCCGGGGTAGAGTTCCGGTATCGGGTTGGCGTTTTCTCCTGAAGCTCCGGGTGAATCTACCGCGCAGCTAAGCGCAAAACCACTGCTTCAGCGCGTGAACACTCTACTTACCAGATAGATCCGCTTCTCTCTTTAAAAGCAACATCTTCTGAGGGAATTTTTCAAAGGTAAGGACATGAGGCCTGGAGCTCCACAAACAGTAAGAGAATGTTCGTTTTGTTGGTAATTGTCTGAGAACACCAATCCTTGAGTTAATCTTGAGTCTGTTCAGGGGCAATGGAGGCCATCAGTAAACACTGCAGCTGCTGGTGAGAACTATACAATTCAGCCTGGAGGCAAAGTTGTCAATTTTCTTCCACTGAAAATCTCCTCAGCTTTGGAAGAAAAAAGCCTTGTCTCTGGACAAACGCATGCTTTCTCTTGTGAAAATAATATTTTGCTTCTTGCTCTGAATTTTTCATGAGAAAGAGAAATGTCTTTTTTTTTTTTTTTGGCATATTCTTTTGGCATGCTTTTCTCAGGCAGAGAGCCGTTTTTCCTCTTCTATCTAGTTTGATAATTCTGAGTTACTTTACCGGGATTTAACTAAAGATGATTCTTGCAAGAGTCATCTGTGAAACAGTCTTATAAACAAATGGACAATGTTTTCTGCTTACACAGAGTCTGCGAAAACAGAAAGAAAGCACCAACTATTCACACTACTCCCTTTCTTAGCAGGAAAGCATACTGATCATCAAATATAATTAATATCAACTATTTCCTGCCTTGAACAAACAATAAAAGCCTATTTCCACATATTACTGCAAAACCTCACTAATTTAGAATGCTATGGGGGGTTGGGAGAAAGTGTGCTAAGGGGTAGATTAGGGAAGGTCAGACCATTAAATACCTGAATTACGTCTCATTTTTAAAGAAATACTATAAACAAAAACACATTTGAAAACAAAGTCAATAGTTAAGGTTTATTTTTAAATGTAACTTCACAATAAGTCTGAGATTCATTCATTCATTCATTTACTCATGCATTCAACAAATAGGTTCCGAGTATCTACTACATGCCAAGCACTGTTCCAGGTGTGCAAATACAGCCATAAATAAGACAAAGTGCCCACACCCATCGTTACAGGCCAGTAGGGAGACTATGAGCAGATAGTTGAAGACATGATACAATTTCAGGTAAAATCAAGCATTATGAAGAGAAAGAAAGCAGGTGAAATGATAGGCAGGGACGGAGTAGACTGTTTCAGGCAGGATGCTCAGGCAGGAGGGACTCTTAATGAAGGGAGAGTGGAGGCCGTGAGAAGAACTGTGGAAAAAGTTTTCCAGACATTGGAAGAGCAAGTACAAAGGCCCTGAGGTGAGATGAGCTTGTAATACTCAAGGGCCAACCAGCAGGGCAGAACGGCAAAGTGAGCAAGGGGAGACTGACAGGGATGACATGACGTCAAAAAGGTTGTCAGGACCCAGATGGTGAGGGGCCCAGAGGACCATGGGATGATGATGGGTTTTAAGTGTAACAGAATTTCAAAGACAGAAGGCGCTGGTCCTAGTCCAGACTGACATCTGCACTATGATCATGAACAGAGGCAGACAGACCCACTAACATCACATCGCCATAGCTGACTGACCTGGGGCCGACTCTTGACCCCAGTGAGCCAGTCAGAGAGGACCTTGGTCTCTGCTGGTGGCAGGAACCTCAGCGAGTCAGTTCAGGAGTGGTGGGTAGTGGTGTTCTGCCCTGTGGGCCAGACATGCTAGAGCACTGACCTGCAGTGGACAGAGAATCAGGGACAAGGGACCCACGGAGGCCCCACAGCACATCTGTTTCTCCTTCCCAGCCCTCCTAGGGCCCTCCTGCCCTTTGTTCTGCAACTGTATCCTTATAAATTCCACCTTCTGCTTGGGCCAGCAGCAGCTGACTTCTGCTTCTTAAAACCAAAGAATCTCAACTAATAAATGTCTTCAGTAACACGGCCTCCTGGCCTCACGGTGTTACATTCAAGTGCTGGAGTTGGAGTTGGTGAGCGTGGCCAGTTCCGGGCCCCAGTAGGAATTATGAGGACCTCTTCCCAAATCCATCCTCAGTGATACCATGTCAGCCATGGGGGGGGGGGGGGTATTTACACAATAACAATCGGCGAAGGTGACAAATCAGGGCTTTTTTTCAGAAAGCTGGATGTTAAACATTTACCAGCACACCCGTCTAAAGGTAAGACCAACAGGCTCTAGCGTCACAGTTCACATCCCAGCTCTGCCGCCTCCTGTCTTAGGGAAGTTAGTGAACCTCTCTGGCCACAGTTTCCTGGTTGTAACATGGAGATAATGGCAGTGCCTGCATCACGGCGTTGTTGTGACAGTGGAATAAGATCACACGTGTAGAGTGCTTAGAACAGTGCCTGACAC